CATGTATGCATGTATGTATGTATGTATGTATGTATGTATGTATGTATGTATGTATGTATGTATGTATGTATGTATGTATGTATGAATGTATGTATATATATATGTATATTTATATATATATGTATTATTTTTTTGTTTATATTCCTTGGTATACTAGTATATTCATTGTCAGATTTTCAGGTATGATTCCGATATTATTTCCATATCAAAATTTTGCATAAGGTGACTCATTGGTGGTGAGAGTGTTCATATAATTGTATAGTTCATTTCTCATTGTTGGTATGTCACACACAGGTGGGTTTCTAAAGGCTTTCGATGTGATTGATTCACTGATCCCTGGCGGCAACCCCAGCACCGCGAGCCCTTCTCAGAGTAGTGAGTCAACCAGCAAGCCAGGCATACAACCGACACCCCAACAGTCCCAACAGTCTCAACCAATACCACTCGCGCCGCAGAGTACACTCACCACCAGCAAGCTCACAGACCGAACCTGCATCACTCCCACCAGGCAACGCAGTCAAGCAACTCAGCCCGTTAACACAGCGACACAGCAAACACAGGCCTCTCGTATAGCTAAGCCCTCGACACGAACCACGGACGGCAAGCTTGGTATTGGGGATGAATTGGTGAAGGCGGCAACGGATATCACGAACGCGTTTGGCGACGTGGCGCTGGGCATGGGGTCTGTGTTTGGGTCGGTGTTGGATTCGATGGGAAAGGGTGTGACAAATGGAGGTGAGTGGTTTAAGTTGGTCACGGGGTGTTGCGGTTGATGTGGAGTTATCCAGTGTATGCAGCCGCCTGTGCTTATAGACGTGTGCGTCACCCAAGTACACAAGTATATAGGTGATAAGTTTTTTGATATTAATTGTAATGTTCGGCCGCGGTCAAGTTATCGTCCGTAGGCAAGTTAAGAGCCAAGAGTTGGCGTGTTGAATCAATCTCTCTGCATGCACCGTCCAGAGACAGTTGTAAGCGCTTTCTAGTAGTCCCACCGTTTCTATGCACGTGCATACTACCGTCGCCGTATGTAGCGCATATTCGGAGTGTTCTATTCACATCCTTTAGTTTTTTTGTTGAATCAATCTCTCTGCATGCACCGTCCAGAGACAGTTGCTAGTTCCTTCTAGTAATCCCACCGTTTCTATGCACGTGCATACTACCATCGCCGTATGTAGCGCATATTCCAAGTGTTCTATTCACATCGTCTAGTTTTTTTGTTGAATCAATCTCTCTGCATGCACCGTCCAGAGACAGTTGTAAACGCCCTCTAGTAGTCCCACCGTGTCTATGCACGTGCATACTACCATCGCCGTATGTAGCGCATATTCCGAGTGTTCTATTCACATCGTCTAGGACTGACACCTGCTCAGTCAACAACTCGCCTCAGCCCCTCATCGCGCGCTTTTCTCGTGCTTGTATAAGTGTATCTGGCCTTTTGACCTGATTTACAGGTGCATGCATCGTACGCAGTGGTCCGTCAGATGTCTCATTCGCTTGATATGTTGTCATGTGTATTGTCAACCTGGTACACGCCCCAATATCGTTCCACTGCACCTGCCCTTAGTAAGCTGGGCTGCTGAATGAATACCGTTCCTTGCTAGAGCGTCATCTACATGTTTCGTCATCCGCATAAATAAGCCTCTGTTTGCTGTAGTAAACCTGGGTTTTTGTAGATTCATCGCTTTCTGGTTGCCTCACTCGCTCACCTCGACACCCTTCGGATGATCTCTCGTTTCTGGGTTAGAACGAATACTGCGTGTGACTAATTTGTCACCTGCTTATTTTCTCACCTGCTTATTCCGGCACTCTCCCATACACTCCAGTGAACTCCAGTGCTGAGCAGGTGATGGGTGCTGCGGGCCTTACGGACTTTGCGATCAAACGAGTATTACAAGCCAACCTAGCACCCTACGCCCACTTCTCACCCATGAGCCTGAAGGTACGTCCCGTTATTCGATCTCAGCAAACCGGTACACTTGGGATAACTTAGTATCACTAAATTATACATCGGCCGAGTTTACTTATGTGCTGGAAAAAGTCGCACGCAATCACTTCGAGATTCCCATGTGCCCTAAGTGAACGATTATATTGCGTCTGCTTTCTTGTTGGGGGTCTGCCTGCTTTCCTGGTGTCTGCCTTGCATATTTGGCGTCTTCGTTCTTGTTTGGTGTCAGCCTGCTTGTTTAACGTCTGATTTGGTGTCTATTTGCTTATTTGACGTCCGCCTTCTTATTTGGCGTCTGCCTGCTTGTATGGCGTGGCCACATATTTAGCTTCTATCTTTTTGTAATGGCTCAATCTGTCTGACAGGTGCACGACCAGGGAGACCGCATTGTGCTGAGTGACGCTGTGGCCTGTGAACAAGTGCGGCTGCTTGTGCCCGTGGACTGCTTACAGATAAAGTAAGCATTGGTCATATCCTTTACCTGTAAGTATGAGTCATCTACTTGACCTGTAAGCATGAGTCATATCATTTATCTGTAAGCAGGAGTCATATCCTTTACCTGTACGCATGATGCTTATCCATTACCTGTATGTATGAGTCTTTTCCTTATCCTGTAAGCATGAGTCATCTCCCGTATCTGGAAACTTGAGTCATAACCTTTCCCTGTAAGCTTGAACCATGCCTTTTTTTCTGTAAGTAGGAGTTATATCTTTGATCGTCAGCAGGCGATATACCTTATACCTTTAAGCATGAGATATATCCCCTCTCGGGAATGAATTTGTCTATGTCTATGTGTGATAGTTGTTCATATAGTACGTATGCATATGTGTGATAAATGTTTATATAGTACGTATGCATATTGTGAGCGTCCGTCGACTGCCCTCTAATAAAGTAAGGATGAGCTGTGTCTTCACTTGACGGTTGGTTTGTTCCTGATTGTGTGTTTATATTTCGCCGCATGTTGTTCTATATGTACGCTGTAGTCCCACCCCCCCCCTCTTACTGTTTGCTCATAAGTGCAAAATCCGAAAAGACTGTCAACCCCCTCCACCTTACACACACACACTCACAAACACATGTGTGTGTATGCTGTGGCTGTCTATGGGGATGTTTGTACCTCACCTATTCACTACGCGTGATACACCCCATACATACACACCCATCCCCTACTTAATTCGCTTCGTATCACATGCTTTGGGCTCTCTTGGTACAGGATGGATTGCGCAACGATACTGGGTGTGACATCCAGTTACATGGACAGTTTACCAGGTGGGGTTGTCTGTTCTGTGTGGGATGAGTACAACACGTACTCATATTGCGTATGCCTTGCGTTTGCTAGTGCCTTTTAGTGCTAGTGCCGTGTTGTTGCTTGTGGAAGGGATAATATCGCGTCTGGCATCCCACTTGTGAGAGTTTAGAACCTAGTTACCTACTCAATCGTTATATCAGTATACAATTACACAACAGAGCAGCGTACGCCCGTGACGTCTTGTATCAGGATAACAATGTGTACAAGGGTAGGGAATACCTTAGGCTATACGTATAACCATTGCTACTATACGTACAATCATTGCTACTATACGTATAACCATTGCTACTATACGTACAATCATTGCTACTATACGTATAACCATTGCTACTATACGAATAACCATTGCTACTATACGTACAATCATTGCTACCGTCCTATGCCACATAGTGATGCACCTTTACTACCGTCGTATGTCGCATTTGTTACGTCGTTTCAGTGCATTCATCAAACTTTGAGAATTTTAGGTTTTTAGAGTTTAGGATTGAGGGTTTAGGATTTAGGGTTTAGGATTTAGAGTTTAGCGTTTAGGGTTTAGAGTAGGGGATATACGAGACCTGATGCCTATCTGCCTCTTGTCGTTCAATACAGGCACGCCAATCACCCCCGTCAAGATGCGCGTGGAAAACATCCACATCACCATAGCGCTGACTATGGTGCAAGGGTGGGCCCTGCGATTGTTCCTGGCCAACCCTACGCTGGAGAGTTTCATCCGTGATACATTCTTATTCAAAGATCTGTTCTTAGCATGGTCATGTGGTATGTAACCACTTCTGTGCCGTGTACGTGCGTGCCTCGGATGCAAGTTTGTTGTTGTGAATAGGCAGCTGTGTGCTATCCAACTATTCCACATAGTGATAGACCCCTCTTCGTATGTGTAATAAAGTATATACGTATTATGTATGTGTATTAAAATATATACGTATTACGTATGTGTAATAAAATATATACGTATTACGTATGTGTAATAAAATATATACGTATTACGTATGTGTATTAAAGTGTATACGTATTAAGCTAGTCGCACCACCTCTCAGGCACCGTGGTCCTAGCCTTCTTGTTTCCCGGCTATTGCATTGTATATACTGTAGCTCTCCCTTTGTATGTCCTTCTATGCTGGTTTGAATGTTTGTATAGGAATACCCGATCACACGTGTTCTTGTTTTTCAAGTGATATTGACTGTTCGTATTGCGGGGCTTAGCCTTTGCGTGCACTCTGCAACCCTCCTCTCCGCTTATAGACTATCTGAGCAGCAACACCCCCATCACGTGACTCAGCACCTCTCATCCCCCCTTTACCATACTGACAGCACTCGGATATACTAGAGATCCTTATTTTTACTATTTGGTATCACGAATGATTCTTATTTATACTATTTAATGTCATTAGAGATTCTTATTTATACTATTTAATATCATAGGTGATTCCTATTTATACTATTTGATATTGTTAGTAATTCTTATTTATACTATTTAACATCCTTCCTACGGTGTTTGGTGCACACTCGCAGACACCATGCCATCTATATTGGGAGGCTTCCGAATAAACGCGGCGCTGTTCAACGCAGAGCACACAGACCGCATCTCAACGGAAAGCGAACTGGTCATCCATGCCATGTATCTGAGTGACGTTGTCTTTTCCGTCCATCCTCTCAAGTATGTTATGCTTCGTGTTAAGTGAAGTGGTCTTGTTTGTCATGTATCTGAGTGACGTCCTTTTCAGTCCATCCTCTCAAGTATGTTATGCTTCGTGTTAAGTGAAGTGGTCTTGTTTGTCATGTATCTGAGTGACGTCCTTTTCAGTCCATCCTCTCAGGTATGTTATGCTTCGTGTTAAGTGAAGTGGTCTTGTTTGTCATGTATCTAGGTGACGTTGTCTGTTCAGTCCATCCTCTCAAGTATGTTATGCTTCGTGTTAAGTGAAGTGGTCTTGTTTGTCATGTATCTGAGTGACGTCCTTTTCAGTCCATCCTCTCAGGTATGTTATGCTTCGTGTTAAGTGAAGTGGTCTTGTTTGTCATGTATCTAGGTGACGTTGTCTGTTCAGTACATACTCTCAAGTATGTTATGCTTCGTGTTAAGTGCAGTGGTCTTGTTTGTCATGTATCTGAGTGACGTCGTCTTTTCAGTCCATCCTCTCAAGTGTGTTATGCATCGTGTTAAGTGAAGTGGTCTTGTTTGTCATGTGTCTGAGTGACGTTGCCTTTTCAGTCTATCTTCTCAAGTATGTTATGCTTAGTGTTAAGTAAAGTGGTCTTGTTTGTCATGTATCTGAGTGACGTTGTCTTTTCATTTCATCCTCTCAAGTATGTTATGTTTGGTGTTAAGTGAAGTGGTCGTACATGGCATGTGTCCGAGCGATTTGTCTTTGGCTTTCATCCTCTCAAGTATGAAACACCATGACTGACACCTTGATATACTTTTCATATGATTGTAATATAGGGGCCCGGGCTGCTACAGGATAGAAATCGAAACCCTCAACATAGATGTTAATCCCTCCAAAGAGCGAATAGTATGTTACATATGCCTTTACATTGTCGTGCTTCAGCGGTCATTCGGTGTGGTACTAATTAAGTGTGCAGGTTAGTGTTAACTGAAGAGATTATCAATTCGTGATAGAGTGGGGCGTTTGGTGTTGTGTCACAAGGACTACTAAGGTTGTCATTTGATATACGTTATACGCTTTCAGTAATTGATGCTATGCTATATGTACTAGACTGCCTCCAGACATCACACAAGAGGTTTTTTATGTCGTATGTGTGTGTTGTTAACGATTACTGCGATGTCTGAGGAACCATAAACGGTAGTCCTCAGTGTATTCTTATGTTGGAGGTTGCACACTTCGGTACACCTTGATGTATGTTCTCCGTTGTGGTTATATATCTATAGTCAGTCAGTATATAACATGTAGTATGTGTTGCGATGTTCTGGTGACACCATACTGTGAAAGCTACTTGAATACCTCGGCATCCCTCGGCATATCCTCTAGTCTTGGTGTTCGAATCAGTTCGCTTACTGTGAGCAGTGGAGCATCATTGTATTTTTTTTTGTTAACGTACTTGCTTCCCATATTATCCAAACCCTACTACTTAGAAAATAGCTTAGTGGGATGATTTTATATGGTCGTTAGAATACACTCACATTTTATGTGGCCCACAAATACAAAGAACTATATGCTGTCGTTCAAGTATCCCTATACCACTTAAAATTATATAGGAGGTAGGCACAACCGTTGCTTCACGTGCTGTGTGTACATGTTGCCTGATTGGATCATATGCTTTTTCCCCGTCTACAGGCTACCCTAAAACAATTACTTGATATGGAAAACGCGCCGAAAATACGCCGAAAGCGGGATGTGCAGATCAAATCTATAGCACTAGGTGTTTTAGTGTGCTTATGCGCTATATTGTACCAATTGCTGACGTAGCTAATTATTATAAAATAAAATTGCATACTAGTGGGGCATTTAGAAAATTATTATATTCAGAAGCATTGTGAATGTTACGCGAGGATAAACAAGATATAAAGGGAGATATAGGATAAAGATTAAACACGGTTTTGTATGATGACGATCTCCTATAACCAAGCCTTCGCTACGATTCCATCGGATAAGACTTATAAAACAACACCATCATGATACCTGGATGATAGCTTATTAATCTGCTATACAGGGTAGACATGCTAGTATATTACACGTGCTGCTACTAAACTGGTATTTTGTGATGGATTAGCATGTCTACACTGTATAGCAAATTATTCAGCTATCAGATAAATTCCGACTGACTGAATCCAGACATTATGCCAGGCATTATGATGATAACATTATGATGATAAAACACGCGTAATATCTATATTCGACGTGTCTTTAATACGAATCGAAGGCGCCCTTTATGTATTGTCGGGAATTTAAAGCTCGTTGTGGTAGGTATTCTTGTGAAGTAGTTTTCAAAGTATATTTTTTAGTACCAACGACACCACCAGCTGCACTGAGTATACATTGCCATTTAACACTGAAACATGTCAATCGAGTTCCAGCACATCTAGCGAACAAAATACGATGACTAAAGGGCAGGCGTGTACAAACCCTTATAGCGAGACAGGAAACATGCTAACTCGTAAGCACGCTCAGAGGAGGGCAGTTCTTGCAATTCTTGTTTTGAAGTATATATTTATTTATACATTTGAAAATTTTACTGAGATGCATTTGAAAGGTGGTACTTATGCCTTGTAGTCGTTGCTTGGGCCATAGCTCCTGAATGAGTGCACACCTGTTAGGGCAGCTGCAATGAATGTACAGGGAACAGCAGCTATTACGATGATGAATGCAGACCCCACTATATCTGTCAATGGGGGAAATTCCCAGTGGCAGTAGAATCCCATGACTATACACACCGCCGCTAAGCACAGACCATTCAAAACGGCAAGAATGCCAGTCATTGGTCCGGCAAGATTAATGCAACAGCAAGCGAAGATGATGTTAAACACCATCACACAGAAACACATGAGACCCAGTATGACGGATGCTATGAGAAGTCCAGCCATCGCTCTCTCAGTACTGTTGGCAAACGCATCCCAGGTAAAATCGGTGCAGAATCCGTTTATTTCGTCTGTGTTACCGCAATTCGTGGCGATTCCAATTTCATAATTGTTGGGCCCCGTCCACCATGATGTTGAGAAAATCCCGAAGAATGCGGCGAATACGCTGTAAGCAGTTAGAACCGCAGCGAATATGATAGCGAAAAATCTACACATGATGATATAGTGCGTTTGTTGATTGATATAATTTTGTAATGATGCAATTGTTGCAAGGTTGTTCTTTTTATAGGAATGATGCATGTGTTCGTCACGACTAATTGTACGCATGAGTGATGAGGACATGAGGTATCCGGTATCCTTCGAGAGCATGACTCATAGATTCGAGCTCATATTTCGTATTCGCCTTTTTTATCATAGCCAACTGAACAATTTTATATAATAAAAATCTTTCTATTTTATGTATAAAAACAAAACAACTAATGACTAATGAGTAACAAGTATGTACTGAGATCCCTCTCTGAGAGTGAGAGAATCCCCCCAGCAGCGATAGCATCAGTAATTCAGTAATATTACTAATATCAGTATTCACTATTTTAGTGGACAATGAGTCAATGACCTAAAACCCTAAATACTACTTTTTATTAAAAATAAAATAAGTTCGCTGCCACGCTGTGCTGTGTGCAGTTGACCCAGTTGGGACTTAGCAGGGAGTGGGGATAAGGACGGAGCGAATGGACTGTGGCAATTTCTGTTGCGTCACTTTCTGCGCTATATACAGCGTCAGCGTGGCTCTTACTGTGAGCCTGTGAGCTTATGAGTCTGTGACTCTGCAACAAGTCCAAGAGTTGAAACCGTGGCCGTGACGTCGTGACTTGTGGGTGACGGTAGGCCTGTGACTATATGAGCCGTGAGAGGTGAGCCTGTGAGGCCTCGCCACCTCGGCGGCGCCCGAGTTTTCAGTATCCGAGTACATAGCTGGTTCGCTCACGCCTCATTGCCTCAAGTCTTAAGAGTCAAGGTTCTCGTCACTCATAATGAGTCACCGATTTATTGACACAACTACAACACTGATGACAGATGAACAAGTCACAACTGATAGATATTATGATATACGTTTGGGACTTACCCCTCATTCCGGTTACTCCGCTAAACGGGAAAACATAACAGTAGTTAACGTTTATTTATACTATGTACTTGGTCCCAAATCCATCTTGCGGGTGGCTCTGTTCTCTCCCTCTCTAGTAGCGGGTCTACTAAATAAATACTACATAGTAGTAGAGAACTAGATGTCAAAGAAATATATTTAGGTATCCAAGTCGAAATTGCGCAGAAAGCATAAGCCAAAATATATGACGTAAACGTTTCTTATTATTATTTACTCACTTTTACTCTTGTTGTCATTAGTTTCGTGATGTCACTGATATGATTGTTTAAAAAAAAAAGAATCTCTAGAATTGTACTTACTACTCGCTACGTAATCTCCTCTATTCATTTTAAAAAAAGTCTTCCATATTTATAAATTTTACCAGAACTAAAGAAATTTATATTTATTTAAAATAGATCAGATCAGAGTACTCTCTTTAGTGAGATATATATGCTCACTGCTCATACGAGTACGACATACATTGCTTTTTTTTTGGATGCATCAAAACCACAGAACGTCAACCAATCGTCCGACACATCTACTCGGCTCCTGCTGAGGTCTCAGGTCTAAGAGAACTGGTGTAAAAGAAAAAAAGTGGATTTGTTGTGGCGAAATCCTATCTTCACAAAAATATGTACCTGCATGTGTCAGCTACATATAGTATATATATAATAAACTTTGGAACTGAAGATATTTATTTATCGTGAATTGTAAATAGCCACGGGATATATAATCCAGCCAGCCAATAACAGCCAGACTCGGGTATTATTCTATCTATCATCGTCATACTTTTCGACATATGTAGTATGCGACTATATCATGACACCCACGCACACACACACACACACACACACACACACACACACACACACACATATTATTTATGTATATATATATATATATATATACATACATATAACTAAATATATATATATATATATATATATATATA